TTATGCAAATGAAGCCCGGGAAATTCAAATCCCGGGCTTCATTTGCACTAAGGGTATGTCTACACTACCCCGCTAGTTCGAACTAGCGGGGTAGTGTAGACATACCCATAGAAATTAGTGTTTTTCAACTAATGATGATGCAGATTGAATGCTATCATATCAAACGTGTGATAATCCCACAGACTTATTATTTGTTTCAAGTCTTGTCACATTGCCAATAAAATACAGTCCTAGTTGGGATGGTGACTTTAGGATTAAAAAATGCTCTAAAAGCACTGGTGTTTGATCCAACCACAATTAAGGCAAATGTCTACCTCTTTAGAAAGTAGCCAATAAAAGCCAAAGAAGATCAGCAAGGCACTCTTGAACAAAACAGAAGAAAGGAATTTTCTCCAGGGAAAGGGGTAAAAAGCTGAGGGAAAAACTGCCCTGATATTTTGGAGAGTCAGAGCAAGAGCTCAGAAGGTTCATCTTATCCAATACCTCTCAATGATGTAACTCTTTGGGGAGGGTGACCTTGAAATACCACACTGAGCCTGTAGGTGTCTAGGCTTAGGGCTTCTAATTTATGTCTACACTGCACACTTATTTCAAAATAACATAAATTATTTTGAAATAACACAGTGCGCATCTACACAGCAAGACCATAATTTCGATATAACAAGCTTCTTCTTCCGACTTCTGTAACCCTGCTTTCATGAGGAGTAAGGGAAGTTGAAAGAAGAGTGTTCTTCTTCGACTTCCTGCTACATGGACAGTGCCCAAAGCCTAGTTAAACTACTTTGACTTCAGCTACACAAGTAACGTAGCTGAAGTTGCATATCTTAACTCAACATTAGCCCTCAGTGTAGATGTACCCCAAGATTGCCTAAAACCCAGGGCAGAAATAGAACTGGCTAGTAACATTACCAGGACCAATCACACACCAGAACATAGAGACAAATGATTTGATTTTGCTTTGGGTTTGGCTGTAGTTGGTGTGGAGCAGACTCGGCAAGAGAAACATCAGACCAGCAGAATGCTTCTACCCTCCACGTACCTACCACGGCAAAACACAATCTTATCTTTCCTATAGCCATTCAGTGGGACTTGAGTGATGGCAACACTGTCATGACTTTGTACACCCCCTTGTACACTCTTCCTTGGACACACATCCATAGCAATGCTTCCCACTGTCCACAAGCCAGGCTTCATTTGTTCTCCTAAATATGAACTTGGTAAATAAATTGCTTGATTCATGTGACTCAGAAACCATTTTAGGTGGGAACTGAGGGTGAAGTAGAAGTAAAAGCTTGTCATACAAAGAATATTGTATAAGTGAGGCTCTGATACTAAAGCTTCCTGCTCCTCTACTTTCATAGACAGGTGTAACAAAGATCAAGTAAATCATGGTTCAAATGGGGGGACCCATCAACTTTGACAGCATTGAATTTAAGCTCCACTGTGGAACTGGGCTATGAATCTGTGAGTATGATCTAAGCACACACATTTTAGAAATATGATGGACATAGGGCTTGAAAAAGTTGCTTGGCTATCTAAGATCGTGTAGAATGCTAGGAGAGCCACCAGATGGATTCTGATGAAACTAAGAGCTAGCCTTGGCTGTTACAGACAGATATAGCTAATTGGAGCTTGAGCTGGGGGAATGCTTTTATAGGTGAATGAGATGGAATTTATCTTCCATTTAGAAAGGTGAGTAGAATAAGTTGATGGTACCCTGCTATTTAGTCTCACTTCTTGACACCCTAGAGCAAACTCATTCCCAGATCATCAGGTATGAAAATTCAGGTAGAGGCCTAAAAACTGGGGTAAAGAAGGCAGCTTAAACCAAAGACATTGAGTCTGAGGTGTGAAGTTTTTCTATCTGAGTACTTAATAACCTTAGCTAATCCAGAATGAGCACTATGAATTAACTAAAATTTGCAAATCTGATTTGCTCTTGGCACAGCATTTTTATAGGGGAGTGGGAAGTTGTATTTGTAGATTTTATATTATAGGACTATTGGTTTAAAAAAGGTTAAACAAATCATGAACAAATTCCTACTTTTAATTTCTTTCCCCTATCAAGCTGATTTCTGTATTTTTTGTCTCCACTTCTTGCATGTTACTCCTGCGGCACTGCAGAAGTGCAGAATTAATGTTGCCCAACAGACTTTTTCTTCTCCCAGAATAATTGATTCTGTCAGGAAAGCAAAGGGAAGCAATGAAAGAGAACACACTGCAATTATACTTTTCGCCCACCAGAGGCTGATGTGGTGCCAGAAGTGAAGACAGCTGGCTCACAGAGCAGAAAAGCCAGCTGTGGAAAGGGAGGGGGCAGAGTCTGCCTTCTTCACAACTCCCAGGAGGCCAAGTCCAGGATGCCAAGTGAGGAGGCATCGGATACTTGCAGGGCAGAGGAAGCAGGGCACATGTAGCTGCTGGGGGTGATCACACAGACTGGAGTTCCAAAGAATTAGGGAGGGACAGACTGAGGCACAGAAGCTAGTGGGATGACAAGATTGAGCCAAGGTTGAATGGGAGTGGGGGGTGTACAAGACCATATGGGTTAGAGTGGAGAGGGTTTCAGAGGTGGGGAAATGGGGACAGCTGAGTGGGGGTGCAGGGCCACATGAGACATGTGTAGCTATTCTTGGCTGAATGGGAAATGAGAGAGACGGAGCAGCTGTGCCTGGCTCAGTGGGGATGTATGGACACATGGGAATAGGACAGATGTGCCTGACTGAATAGGAGAGGCTAGGGATCAGCCAGGGTCTATATGGGAGAGGCTTCCCAACTCCATAATGACGTTCCCCCCCCCCTCCCCCAGAAGATTGTTCCATACTTATCACACCCACACCCAACATTCCAGGTCCACTGCCAGGCCCTTCCCTGCAATTGCTTCCCTCTCCTCCGCTTATCCATTACCCCAGATTCCTTCAAGCCTTTGCACAGCTTCTGAGAGATGCAAGAAATACATTTCTGCATAGCAGTCTAAACAAATTATTACTCAAAATTCTGTATTAATATGCCTCGTAAGGAATACATTTGTCAAAAACATTTCCTAAATCCCTTTCATTGTCAGTATTGTTATAGACATACTTGCTGACGTACTTTGAGAGAAATTACTAAAATAATCAAAACTGCTGTGATTATATTGGGTTATTTTTGACAAATAAAATATTCAGAAGTTTGCAGAAGTTTGAATTATTGTGTGCAGAATCTTTAGGCACAGAATTCCCCCAGAAATATGCCTGTGCTATCTGTTTAGAGCGTAAGCATTGTTCCTATTAGTGTACATGTATTACTAGCTAGAGGTTTTCTGTGAAGTTTCCTGAGGAAACTTTAGCCTGTGCTCAGGGTGTGCAGACTACATTCCCAAGTGGAAACACTATTCATATTTTAATACATTTAAGGGTCCCATCAAGATTCCAGAATATTCACTTCTGCTTACAGTTTGCTATCCAAAATACGGTCACCTTCTCTAAACTTAAAAAACAACAAATAGTCTGGTAGCACTTTATAGACTAACAAAACATGTAGATGGTATCATGAGCTTTCTTGGGCACAGCCCACTTCTTCAGATGACCGGATACCATCTACATGTTTTGTTAGTCTATAAAGTGCTACCAAACTATTTGTTGTTTTTTAAGTTTATCCTGTACAGAGTAACTCGGCTACCCCCTGAACCTTCTCTAAAGGCAGCTGGGTGAAGTCCCGTTGAGAGACGTGACTTTCTCATTGGGCAATATGACCTGCTATGTTCAGGTTACCATGTTATGTTCAGGTTACCATGTTATTTCAGTTAGTTTTGATTCAGGAGCATATTTAGTTCACATTATTGGCTGCTAAACTTAATCTAATACAGTGCATGACAGTTTTTCTGTTTCATTCCCAGATTCTTCATGCATATGTGCAATTTTCATATTCATGAACATATGGATATATGTGCACTGTAAATATGCATAGTAACCTTATAGCTCAGCATAAAACTACTGTAGGAATAATGGGTACCAGAGAAGAGTAATGTATTGCTACAAATATTGAAGAGTTTGCTTTTTTTGCAAAACTCAAATTTCCAAGGATACTTTAAAACATGTATTCAGCCTTTTGTAAACACTATTGCATCTGAGGCTGTCTGCATGGAAGGCCATTGGTAAGACCTATTTAATGTGGGGTTGGGGAAGAAAAGCACTGCAAGTCAACTGAATATTTACAATTTAAAAAAATAGCATACCTTGAAAAGCCTCCCCCTCAAGGGCCTGAACTGCCTGTCATTAGGACTCTTAATCTAGCAAAATGGCCTCAAAGAAAATTTCTTCAGGAAAAATAGAAAGCTAGTCAATGGGATGGAAGCATTCTTTAGGGATAAACACCGGCACCACAATACATACTCCTAAGGCTGGCATGTTCTCCATAGATATAAAAAATACTTTTGATTCATATTGTAGCCAGCTGTAGCAGATGAATAGCTTCATTTAATAAGTTAATAAACCAGATATTTGTCTTGCTTGTTCTTTGTTTGACAGTAGGACCTTCTTCAGTCTTTGGTGTATTTCTGCTCTTTTTGTCATCAGCAAAAAAGTTAATTAAAAAATTGCCTCAGACATGTCAACTTGGCATTAGACTACTGATTGCTTAATGTGGCACTCCACTAGGTTCTATCACTGCATTGTTTATAAATGAAAGTTTTGGGTTATTATCCTCATAAATCACGTCTGCACTAATTAAAATCACAACTAAAAATGTTGTCTGAATTATAACCGGGCTCACCTTCAGCTAAAATATACTGTTGGCAGATGGAACTGTTACACATTGCCTTATAAATTCTTTTTCTTCGTGTGTAAACAAGTTTTTAGTTTTGGAAGAAATGCTGTTGGGGGGAAGTTCAAATGAGTTCATTTTTGACATAGAACTAGCAGTGCAGCTTTGATGCTTGTGCTGAGGTTCCTGGAAGAGAGGTTTCCATGAAGATCATTTGTTACTGACCGATTCTGATGTATATGTTTAAATAAAACAAGCTATGTTAAGAGTCTACAACACTGACCTCTCCTCTGATGGGAAGCTGATTTTTTCAAGGCCCGGAAGTATCCTAATGTGTGGCAGGACAACAGTACACTGTATTAATTGAAAATAGTTTTTCCATGGGTCACTACCTAGAACACATGTATTTAGAAACAGCAATAAACATGAAGAACGTTGTGCATCTTCATCATACTAACAGACCATCTATCTATAATTAAGCAGAATGAACTAAATTGCTGTGCAAGGAGATAGCTTTGCTGTGTAACCTACATAGTAAATTAGTGCTTCATTTTACTGCCTTGGTTTAATAGCTGACTACAGCAATCCAGCTGGTGTTCCAGGAATAGATCACTTTGCTGTGATGCATGGAATAGGATTTTTTTGTTCTCACATTTATCAGACATTCTGGCCAGCTGGCAGCCCTTGCATGCCTAACTTCATACCACACAAGTACTAATGAAAGCAGAGCATGAAGAAAACATTGATGTGTGGCATTAGGTGGCCTTCAAGAGGACATCTGTGAAAACAATACAGACTGATGCAGAGAGCCTGCAAAAGGTGTGTCTGTTACTTTCTCACATGGCTGGATATTATGTAATGAAGCACAATAATGCAATTGTACTTGAAGGATCAGAGAAAATAAAAGGAAAACATATAATTAAACAGCACAAATAAATAGGTTTTCTATGTTCAGGGCACCATAGGTAAGCCTACCTTACAGTTAAGGGAATATATAAGAACCAAAGGAAAAACACTCTGTAATCACTCCTACAGATGTTACATTTTATTTGTATATTGGAGTGGGCTACCTTCAGCTGGAGCTAAGTTAAAATGTTTTGAAGACTCCAAATTGAGAATCTAGATATCACACCATTTGGATCTTCCCCCATGAGCCCAGTAGATATTTCACTCCAGAAAAGGAGTGCAGTGTAACACTTGACTGTTTGCTTTACTACTTATCTGATCATCATCTGCCACCTACCCTCTATGGAACCTGTTCTATGCCCCACAGATTATGAATAACTGTCACTGAGTTCAGGCCCTAGGGAGCAGGGAGCCTTGATTGCGGGATCCTCTCTGGTGACCAAGGTCGCTTCAGATGTTGAGGAGGGAATGAAAAGATAGGCAAAATGTCATGTTTCCACCTTGCCACAACCACCATCATCCATATAAACAAGTAATGTCTGGCTGTTCTATTTTATGAGCCTGCCTTCAGGTAGGGTGACCAGTCCCAATATTATCAGGACCAAGGCTCCTGTAAGCTGCATGCCTGCACAGACATGCAGCTGTTTCTGGAGCTCTACTCAGGAGTTCAAAGCTCCTAGGCAGGCAAGGAGCTCAGCTGACTGGCTGGGGAAAGGGCATCTCACTGAGCAAGCAGCTAAACGGAGATGCTCCATGCTTGAAATGGAACAGCTCCCAGAGCAGGTTAAGAAGGGAGATAAGGAGACAATTAGTGGCTGTGGGTGGAGGAAAGAAGGAGGAGGAGGAAGGGAGGGAATAAGTAACTGGCTGATGAGAAGTCAGGGTATGTCTACACTACCCCGCTAGTTCGAACTAGCAGGGTAATGTAGGCATACCGCACTTGCAAATGAAGCCCGGGATTTGAATTTCCCGGGCCTCATTTGCATAAGCGGGGAGCCGCCATTTTTAAAACCCCACTGGTTCGAATCCCGTGCAGCGCGGCTACACGGGGCACGAACTAGGTAGTTCGAACTAGGCTTCCTAGTTCGAACTACCGTTACTCCTCATTTCAGCAATTTTCTCACAAAAAGGTCTTCGCTAGAGAGCTAGATTATGTAATAACTTTGGGACATTAGCACCCACACAGCTTGAAAACAAGACATAACAATAGAGTCACTCACATAGCGTGTGTATCACTTCATAGGATCCACAATTACACACAGATGGGTTGGTTTATTGTAGTACAGGTGACATCATCCAGAGGGCATGGGTTCATGATAACCAAGATAGGAATGCAAATAAAAGGAAATTAGACTGTCGATTGAAAATTAAGAGAAACTGTTATATCTTAATATAACGGCGAGAAGAGAAAGAGAAACTCAGCACTCTCAAGGCTCTTGGGAAGGGGAAATAAGGAGCAAGCTGAATTGGGTAGGTAGGGAATGTAGGGGTGGATGGATGATGGCATCTGTGCAGTGAGGTAGAGGCAGAGGGCAGTTTGTTTGCGGTGTCTGACTCACTTGCTGCAGTCCTGTCTGTCTGGGTTGGGGAGGGTGGTGGGAAAGCAGGCTGCAAAGACATTTGGATGATTACATTTCAAACAAAGTTTACATAGGTATTAATGCCTTAAAGTAAGAAAGAAAGAGATTCTTTTAACAGAATTTTTTGGAGTGTTGCAGGTATCTAAAACTCTGATCTTAATGATTTTTTTTAAATCCTGTGTTACTAATTAATACATGGTATGTATTAGTTATGCTCTCTTTGCAAATACTGTTTCTAGTTGACTCATAGATTTGTTTAGCATCTTAAAGCTGAGCTGTGTGTGGATAATATGTGTTTTGGTGTGTTTACTACTTGAGCTGTTAGAAAGGTAGATACATGTACTCCAAGAGAAGTGTTAATTTTCTTTTTTCTTTGATTTCATATTAAATATAGTAAGCATTGCTCCTTGTTAAATATCCCTTGTTTAAATATGTTTTCTTCCACACATATGGACTGTTTAAAATTATGTGTGTGTATGTTTTGTTTGTATTGTTGGT